ATCGATTCAGAATTATGGCATCGGTGATTCCCTTCTGGGTTGGACAAGCGACTTTCCCTTTCAAGGTCACCTGAGTATAAGGGTTCCCAGCGCCCTATCCGAATCAACCGAAGTCCAGTGGGGTGTGCCCCAGGACGCAGTGCTCGGGTCCCGCCCGTTCCTGGTCTGTATAAATGATCTAACGACGGTGCTATCTTCAAATCTCTTACTATTCGATGATAATCTAAAGATATGTCGTGTTAATACTACATTGGAGGATCACAAACCATGCACGTGGTCAATCGAGAACATGCTCCAGCTCAACGCCGCCAAGTGCAAAATTCCGAGCATACGTCATCAGAACATTCAGAATTACTGACTAGGTCTACAGCGCGCTTCTCATAAGTGCGATCTCAGCGTACACGTGCAAGATGACTTTAGCTATTGGAGGCAGACTGGAAACGCATCAAGCGATGCAAATTAGCACTTCAGCCTCCTGTGTTTGGGATTTCGAAAGTTCGACGCCTCAGTTCTTCGAAAAATGCTTGGCGCGTACGTAAGGCCGCACGCGGAAGACGCTATCCAAGCGTCACAACCCTGGTAGAAGCCCCATCTCCCCGCGATCGATATTACACAATGCAACGATACGAAGATGATCAAAGATTAGTCACGCCTTCTGTACGCACTCGGGCTGAAAACACTGAAAATATACAACTGACGTTATAGACATCTACGGGAGGAGAATCTAATAGGAGAGTATATCATGCTTAAAAAACCCAACCACACATGTCACCATCTTTTGAAAATCAGCTAAAACATCTCTGAGTGGTCAACAGTTTAAATTGACCACGCAGTACAGCCGACTGGACTTTTAAAACTATTACTTACTCCAGGTGTCACAGCTCGAAACGCGCTCCCGGTGCATGTAATAAATTGTAAGAAGAAACGCAAGCGGTACGCTTAAAGCGAACAATTGTTTTCGATTTATTCATCATCAGGCTTGGTACAGAAATATACGTTGAGAAGAGGAGTTCATACGGGAAAACAGAGAGTAACTATTGATTGAACAAAAATTTTTAAATGCTTAACGTAACGTGTCATGTGGTCAAGTGACTGAAGGCATGTGATACCACTGAGTGAGGTCCGATCCATCTTTATTACTGGCTGGCCAGGGTAGTTGTAATGCTTGTACATGCTGCTTCTGAATGCATAGATTTGGTTTTGTCAACCTGATGCATACTGCTTCAGCGGTAGCGAGTAGCCGAGCCCCTGACCGATGGTGTAGCTGTGATGGAACTCGATAGAGGATCTCAAAAGACTTGCGCTTATCAATCAGATGACTGGTGCAGATCAGATGGTTGGTTATGGCACTCAACTTAGTTTTGTCCCGTTGGGTGACGAGCGACGTTGGTAAATGTTCCTTGATTCGCTTTTCCAAGTGCCTGGTCGTGCGCCCAATGTACCTAGCCCCACAGGAGCAGGTGAACCGGTAGACTACCATTGATTGGCGTTGATCAGGCATCTTGTCTTTGAACCTAGGAACAAAGAGCGAACTGCTTGTAAAAACGACACTTAGTTGAGCTGCATTAAAGGTCTTTCGGCAAGTCTGTATCAGTCGTCGTGTGCATATCTCAGCCGGTATGTCACCTTTAAAGGGAAGTTGGAGAAATAGCTGTTTCTTCTCCACCGTTTGTACTGTTGGTCTTGGGCTACTAGACTTTATATGAACGTCAATGAATGGTTCTGGATAACCGTTTTCGAGAAGTGTTTGCCTGATTCGCTTCATTTCTTCTTCAATTGTGTCCTCACTACAGATCTTCCGTGCACGATTGGCCAGCGTATGTACCAGTGTTCTTTTTCGGCTTATTGGCACAAAACTTCGGAAGTGTGTGTATTGGCCTGTCCAATACGGCTTTCTATATACTCCTATCTGAATTGATCCGTCTTCTCGTCGCTTTAAGTTTGCATCCAAGAAGTGCATTTGGTTATCAATTTCTTCTTCAACTGTGAATGTGGCGTTGGGATGTGCCTTGTTAAAACACTCGACGACATTTTGCAAGTTGTTCGTCTGCTCAATTATACAGAATATGTCGTCAACATAACGTCGGTAGAAACGTAGGCCCGAGATAACCGATTTTAATGGGCCATCCTCTAACATTCCCATATAAATATCAGCCAATAGTGGTCCGAGAGGTGATCCCATCGCTACCCCATCTACTTGTCTGTACAATTCATTGTTGAATTGGAATTGGATGTTATAAGTGCATCTGAGTAATAGCTGCTTTAAATGGACAGTTGGTATTTCGATCTTTATCTTGTGCTGCTCAATGTAAGTACAAAGAAAGTTAACTGTTTCTATAAGTGGGACATTCGTGAACAGAGATACGACGTCCAAAGAAAACATTCGATAGCCTAAGATGTTCATAGTTTTACGTTTTCCACAAATTGAAAAGTGTCCGTAAGTTGATGAGGGGCTATCATTTTCCTAATAGGATCCAAAATAGACGTTAACCATTTTGCGATGGTGTGATATGTTGAGTTCCTCATATCCAATATCGGTCGCAATGGTGCACCCGGCTTGTGTATTTTTGGGAGACCGTAAAGTCTAGGAATTATGGAGCCGGTGGGTCTTATCCTTTCATATCTTTCTTTAGTTATGTGGCCATCAGTGACCAGTGATTTCAAACACCTTGTCAGTTGTGCTTCTGTGTAATCTGTTTTGTCCTTCTCTCGTTCACATCGTACAAATTTGGAGGAGTCCGAGAGAATAAGCTTCATTTTTTGTACGTATTCTGTGCGGTCCATGATCACGGCTCCTGATCCTTTATCTGGTTTGGTGATTATGATTCTCTCGTTTTGCTGAAGTTCTCTTATGGCTTCGATGTGTGCCTTTGTTAGTAATCGGGAATGTGTCATGGGGTATCGTTGATACTGAAAGGAAATGTTGACCAAGTCCGACTTAAATTGTTCGAGGTTGGTGTTGGAAGTGGCTACTAAATCACTTGTCTGGCTGTTAAGGTATTCAAATTGAGTTTCGATTTCTAGTCGATGATCATTACTTCGTGAATGACAAAACCTAAGGCCCAATGAAAGCGCCTGCATTTGTAAGGTGTCTAGTCGTATACTGGACAGGTTGTGTACATATCTTTCCGGATTTGATGGAAATGTGTTCGGACATTCTTTCACGGACAAGAGGCCTGATCAACGCCAATCAATGGTAGTCTACCGGTTCACCTGCTCCTGTGGGGCTAGGTACATTGGGCGCACGACCAGGCACTTGTAAAAGCGAATCAAGGAACATTTACGAACGTCGCTCGTCACCCAACGGGACAAAACTCAGTTGAGTGCCATAACCAACCATCTGATCTGCACCAATCATCTGATTGATAAGCGCAAGTCCTTTGAGATCCTCTATCGAGTTCCAGCACAGCTACACCATCGGTCAGGGGCTCGGCTACTCGCTACCGCTGAAGCAGTATGCATCAGGTTGACAAAACCAAATCTATGCATTCAGAAGCAGCATGTACAAGCATTACAACTACCCTGGTCAGCCAGTAATAAAGATGGATCGGACCTCAGTGGTATCACATGCCTTCAGTCACTTGACCACATGACAAGTTACGTTAAGCATTTGAAAATTTGTGTTCAATCAATAGTTACTCTCTGTTTTCCCGTATGAACTCCTCTTCTCAAGGTATATTTCTGTACCAAGCCTGATGATGAATAAATCGAAAACAATTGTTCGCTTTAAGCGTATCGCTTGCGTTTCTTCTTACAGTATATAATAAAAACGGGCATGCGACACGACACGTAATAAATGACCTCCACCTTATTCCTATTGAAAAACGTCCTGGTGATACCTTTACACGTTTTCGCTAAATTGTAGCGCTCTTGATGATGGCATTACAGTAGAAGAAACATTTTACGATATTATAGTCCTTGCAAGTTCCAGGCATGAATAAACCCACATGTGTTGATTTACACCTCTTGGTGAGTAATGTGTCACCGGCGCTTTTTATATTGTAGACTTTCTCGTATAGCTTTTACCATAACCATTCTATGGAACTTGTCATGCATTTGCTTTTTTACCCGTTATAAACCGAAGCGATACCCGAAAGGGCTAAGGAAACGCCACTTGTAGACGGTTGAGGTGATTGCAATCGCCCTGACGAGAAATCGTTCTCTTGGAGAATTACGGAAAATCGGACGTTTTTATTTATTTATTTGCTAATTTTACCTCTTCTATTATTCCAACCTGTTTCGTTGCGCAAGTCTGTTAGTCCTGTCTCGACGGCACCTGATTAGACCGATTTGAGTATTGAACGAATGTGCTAAATCCGTTTAAACCGTCTCATCCCTTCTCAGTTTCGCCTTCACCAGCCTACCGTTACTTTTATCAGTCCTGTAAATATAATTAGCTATTATGAAGTACGGATAGGGGATCTCTTTGCAACCCTGATTTACTAAGTGTTTTACTTTTCCATGGGCAATATTTAGAAGTTCGTAATAACACAAATCTTCGAGCTGCTTACTTGCCTGCTTCAAACACCAAGGCTGGATAAGTCACCTGAGTTGACGGAGCACAGAAATAATGCACTTGAAGATTTTGGCGAGCAAACGTAGAGATGTGCCAACTCCTCTGATCTCCATCATCATCTACGTTGTCCATGCACTCGTCGCTACATCTGCACTTTTGAGTAGCTAGTTGCATGCAACCGATACGCGTTTACACCTTCTGCCTATTGCAACTTCTTTGATTAATCTATGCAAACCAAGTGAGCAATTGGTGTATTTTAATCACGTATGTTCGTTTGTGGCTGTAATGCATTAGATTGTTGGAATAACTAATTAGTTGTCCCCGAGGAAATCCACCAAAGAACCTCAGTTGATCCATGATCTGTGCTCACAAAGAAGACTACATTTATGCAGCTTCTACGAGTAGCTGCCAGTTTACTACTCGTTACTCTTTGCGTCGACGGTAGAAGGGGTAACTACATTAAATAATCTACTGAGGCACTTACCTGGCGTAACCCAGTCCTTCATCTCTTCATGATCCAAAAAGCCATCCCCATTTTTGTCGTATCGTTTGAAGTTTTCTTTCTCAAGAACGAAAGCATCTGCGTGCATTTTCTCTTAAAGCAAAGAAAAATCCAGCGCAATTCCTATTAGTATAATGCAAATTATTCAAAACTTGAGCTGGTGTAAAATATTAACCAAAATCGTTCTCTTAGTAAATCGGCGCAGAATGGTGTACTGTATCTCGAGTTCGCTAGTTTGAGCCCAGCACGTACTTCCTCGGCCCATTGGCTTTATAACCTTGCACAGCTATGACGCGTGCTGCGCCAATCTAGTTCCCTGGCTAACAACACACACCATCGGCGTCTTTTATAACTAGCATACAGGGACCCTTTTATTGTTAGCATAAGAGCTTATCCTTGCGTATTGTATGCGAGAGGTTTATTGGCAAGCCCATTGAATGCGTTGGTATTTATGTCACTCAGCGGAACGTCCCGACTGAGATTAAACTGTCCAAGTTGTGTGGTCTATTCTACAACTTCTAAAACTGTCACTGGTGATCCAATCCTGGGACGGACTGGTTGATGTACCGATGCAACTCAAGTGTTGTTTGATAACTTGCACTCAGTAACGTATCTGTTGTTAACACCGTACTTTTCCTCGGCGCGTACAAAAACATAATGGAAGTGCTCTTCTTCACCCATGTGTCGAGCCATAACACAATTTGAAGACGCTTTTAGATCCAATATTAATCACTTTTCGGGTTGCACAAATCTTGCGGTTTCCAAATTGGCTGCCAAAGATAGTGCTCATAATGTTTCGCTGATAGAACATAGCGTTTTTGATAGGGAATCACCCTCCGGTGATACAGAAGACTGCTGCGCTTGAATTGCGGCTTTAGAAACTGAAGGAAAGGTTTTAACCTCTTAAATAACTTCTAGTGCAATTAAATTCGCTTGTGTATCTTTTTAACACTCCGGACACACCGAAAACTGAGCACCTTTATCCGCGGGGAATTTTATTCAACATGTTCCTTTTGAGGTTCATGAGTGCATAAAACGCTCCAAAAACGTTATGGCATTTAATTTACCAGAAAAGTTATCGCTTGAGGCTATCTCGACCGCAGTGGCCAACGATTGCCATATTGATAGACTGCAGTTTTCTTGCGTGAAGCTGTGAAAGAGGTCTCTAAAGCAGGTCTGTCCTAAACTTTTTAAATTCTCAAACAAAACACTGGCTGAAAAATACAGTTGTAGTGGGCCTAAAGTATCCCTTAGGAATGGTTACAGATGGTTGGTGCTGAAACCAGACTTAACAGTTCTACAAAAAGAGTGCAAAATGACCAGTTACCGACAAGCGGCTTGTGACCAATTTGCTCCGCTACCGACGGAAACTCGCGGTTCCCCACGTAGTTGACATAGATGATACTTTGGCCATAAATAAATCCACGCTGTTATTGGAATCAAATATTAATGCTTATCAAAATATCACTTCTGACTCCACTCACTTTTGCGTTAACTCATCATTACTGTGTAACTTATCCCCGAATAAACAAGAAAGTTCCACTGCTCAAAAGCCTATGTCTACTCTCTATTGTTCACCAACCAGATGCATAGATACTCCGGTAACAAGACGAAAACCTCACTAAAAAGCTGTGCACCTCTACAAAATGAAACACTGAGGAACAGCCTTCTTGTAAAGAACACTGGTGGCAAAATCTCACGTGGAATATATACGAGTGCTTCTAAGCAAAGTATGAATGCTATTTCAAACGTTTCATCAAATTCTGTCACCATTGGAAGCATGCAGACAATCGGAAAAGCAACAACCGCTCAATACTGGAGTATGCAACCTGTGCACTCCATAAGTGAAGTGCCGCTTGCTAGCGAAATTCACGTAAACGAGAGAAATCCTCAAAAGCTTTCACTACATATAAATAACCTTTATAGGCAGGCAGGATATGTGCAACAGCCAAAAAACTAATTTCACAGGGTGTCGAAATTTTCTCAGTATTTCGCCCTTCCAACATTTTTTGAGTGTCCTGTGGCGCTTGACCAGTCACACCCCAAATGACACTAATTCCGCAAATTATCTTTCCTCCGAATCCACCACCCGCACCTCGCTGGGGTCCTTTACCTGGATTTCTGGAGGCAGCTCAACGGAGAACAAGACATTGCATTTACTCTTACTTAATTCTTATTCATTGCTGAATAAAATGCACTTCTTGCATAGTATTCTTCACCTTTCATCTCATGTAGTACTAATAACAGAAACATGGTGTTCAATGGAGATGCCAGACACACTGGGATATTAGGTTATAACATCCTTCATAATGACCGCCCTTTTGGTGAAACTGGGGCTGTCTAATCTATGTAAAAGATGAACCCCACCTTCGGATTATTCCTGATTCGGTGTGGATTACCATTTTTAGTTCTCCAACAAATCTCTTATTAGGTTACATTTAAAGAACATCCTCATCTGCTGCCACCGTAACTGCAGACTTGATAGACAGTTTTTATTTTATTGCCGACCTCTCATGCACAAATGAAATTATCGCTGGGGATTTTAATTTGCCCGAAATCAAATGGTCACTTAACAATGAACCACAAATGCGCAACACATTTGTGTATACCCTTAGTGGACTGAGATGGGTACAACACGTAAAAGAGCCTACTCGGTTTGGCAATACAATTGATCTAATATTTACTATGGGATGTCCAACTGTGTCCACATACATCAGTGGCAGACTACCGGGGAGTGATCACAGCATCGTTAATTGTTCTTTCCAAATTCTTTCTAACCCGATAGAATCAGTGACTAAATAGAGCTCATTCTCTTCTGTGAATTAGTGCATCTTCCAAGATACCATATGGTCTTCGAATTGGGATCAGTTTTTCTTAACACAGGATGTACAAATTGCTTGTGATAAGCTCTACCACCGTATTCAGTTTTTCACTTAAGTTGTGGCTCCGGGATGCTCTAAGGCGCTGGAAAGTATTGCCAGTCCAGCATGCTTCTCGAAAATGGTAGCCACAAAGCTACATAAAATAGAAAATGTTGAGGAAAACGAACGATTTTACCCTACTAATACTCCATACCAGAATGCCAACAGAGTTGTATCCTGATCATCACAAAATGCTACGCTCCGAGGAGGTAATGGTACTGAACGGCGCAAACGTGACAGGTTTCATCACAAAAATTTGAATCGTTGACAGAACAGGAAATCAAGTAATATTAACTCGATTATAAGCTGTGTTGGAACTGACATAACCAATCATGAAATCATCCGTTCGATCTTTAATGACTACTTTATGTCGGCCTATAGTACCAATGCGAGAGAGGAACCTCAACCCAAACTGATAAGCAAAGGCAGCAATACACTCCAAATGGTTGAATTCAAACTTGGTGATATATGTCGCCAAATCAGATTATTTCTTTCATCATGCTCTCCTGTCCCTGACAACATCCCGCCAATTCTAGTCAAACAAGGAATCCCAGACATCTCCTTGTTTCTGCTCAATGTATTTATGCTTTCCATGATCAAAGGAGAGTATCCTTTGTGATGGGGGTTAAAGCCTGAGGCGAAGGGAATCGTCTGCCTCAATTCGGTCGATCAGGCGATCGATCGAGTGGGCGGGTAAGTTTTTAAAACAGCTATTTGTACACTACTTCAGACTTGGGAATAGAACGCTTGTGTGCAGAGCCGATGTGAGTTCTTTCTTTTGACACGGCTGGGAGAACCAGGCACGCAACACTATGCACTGGAAATAATCAATTATATTTCCAAGACACAAAAGTGGTTCTATGCAAGATGTAAAGGATTACCGCCTAATCTACCATACATCCACTACTTCCAGAATCATGGAGAGATTAGTCAAAGAACGCATAATAATATACTTGAGTTCTATGAGATTTATCAGTAAACATCAGCACGGTATTTTTGAAGAGGTGTCATGCTCTACCTGTCCCTTAGATTATCTTGATTATGTAACTAGAGCTAGAGACGCCGGAAGTACTATCGTTGTAATATTGCTTGATACCCATAAAGCCTTTGACTGTGTCCCACACAACTTATTGCTGCAGAAGCTTTTGTCTTCTAGTATCACAAATTCGCTTCCAAAGCGATTGTCTTCCTAACAGGAGGGTAGAAAGCAAGCAGTCAGAATTGGTAACTGTACATCTGAAGCCACTTCAATATATAGTTAATTGATTCAAGGAAGCGTGTTGGATCCACTTTTACTCTTAACCATCGTAATGATCCCTTTGATGAAATTATGTCGGGGAAAGGATTTCTCTTTACTGACGATGTTAAAATTGTATATTGTTCTGCCCCTGGGAAAGTTAGTCCAAATTTTGCCTGTATTCGGTCTGACTTGTCAGCATTAGAGCACTGGAGTAGCTCCTGGAATTTGCACTTAGCCACCGACAAGCGAACTATATTGTACTACTGTTGTGACACTCAACCGAACATTCTAACCTCAAATAACACTCCTATACCTGTGTGTGGCGCAGTCCGAGACCTTGGTCTAAGATAATACTCCTCGTATAATTTTTTGGAGCAGGTTATATTTTGCAGACTTCTGCCAGAATATCCATGGCCTATATAAACCGAACAGTTATCTTGAAAGAGTCCAGGCTTCAAGCCTTTAAATTGTGTGTTAGGCTGAAGCTTGAACATTATACAATCATACAAGGAAATCTGGGAAAATTGGAAATCATAGCACTGGAAAACATCCAAGGATCATTCACAAAGAGATGCTTGAACATGCCTGACATTATAACATACTATGAACGTTGCGAGGCTATAAAACTGCAGTCACTATGGATTAGCAAACACAAAATTTAATCTGTACCTTTTCTACCGCATATTATTCGGCTTAAGATTTTTACAGCTGAGACACAACTCGAGTTTCAGGCTCTCAAGTGCTACGACATCAGAAATAACGAATGCGTATTGAATATTCAAAACACTCGCACCAAGCTCCGCTCAAAGATTTTCTCAGTAAAATATGTGTTTACATGAAATAAACTTCCATCGAACATCAGAAAATGACCTATCTATTTGCAATGCAGACGGATGAGCAATATTCACCTGACCGTTTCCAATATCTTGTCA